AAAGAAAAAAACGGCTGGGGTGAAAACAAAACAAAACAAAACAAAACGACTGTGGTGAGCTGTGGGAGAAGGATGGGGCAGAGGGCTGGAGCCCACAGCGCAGAGTGGGTGGGTGTGAGTTTGGGGTAGAGCGGGGACGGGCGGGGCGGGGGCCGCGCGCGCAGTGCCATTGGCCGGCACGTCCTGGGCGTGGCCCCTGCGCGCCCGGCCGCGCCCGCCGGGAGGAGTCTGCAAGCGCCGGGTACTGACAGCCGCTGGGCGACACCTGGACGGCGGTGCGAGCCAGCGCGGCCGAGGTGCAAGCGCCCTGCTGGGGGAGTGGAGACGCTTGGCGCCCAGTCGGAAGGAAGGTATAACGCGCGCCGCCCTTGGGGACTCGGGGTTTGCCACCACGGGCTTGGGTCGACTGGCGCAAGGACGCGGGAGCCTGCCGGGTTACAGCTCAAAGAAGCACGCCGGGCTCCTGTCTTGACCACTTTACCCACTCTCTGTGTTACTTTGGGCAACTTTCTTGTCCTTTCTGGGTCTCTGTTTTCTCCTGGGTTAAGTGAGTGATGCTCTTTAATCGTTGGGTTCTGAAACGTGAACTGAGTTTTGGCTCCCAGCAAACTCCCTCTAGTTTGTATTCTAGTCAAGAGTCAGCTGTGCCGTCGCGGGGCGGGGCTGAATCTCCTGGAAGTTGAGGTGCCTGGATAGGCCAGGTTCTGCTGGCAGTCACGTTTCCTGAGGCTTTTGAAGACTGACCCTGGCCTGGAGCTGGGTGCTGTCAGGACCTGGCTGCAGAGTAATCGCCCCCATTGTTCAGGTGAAGTAAGGTAGAAGTTTGGGACCTTTTTAAAGGATTGGGAAGGAAGTGTTCCCAGGGAGTAATGATTTGTACTTGGAAAATAAGATTTGTTTTGGAATTCTGTTCCTAACCGGATCTCTTCTGGTGGTGAGTTATAAATCACATAGTTTTATTTGACTTTTAAAGTAAAAACCAACTGCTTCAGCGCAAAATGCACGAGCCTGTAGGAAGTGTGTCTCTCTGCACTTATCCTCCACACCCATCTTCCATCCTCCTTCTTCTCTTTTCTTCCTTCACTCTTTATAAATCTTGTGAAGAGCTCCACTTCCTGTCTCAATGAAAAAAACCTACTTTCATTCAATGCAGATTTGGGATCAGCATTCTTCAGGGTTGGGGCCTTAGATGAGATACAAGGGTAGATAAGGACAGTCTGACTCAAAGTCAACTTTCTGAGCCATGAAGCCTGATAGGGATGTGCAGTCTAGTGTGGGCAGACAGACAGACTGCCCAAAGTTTTAAACTGCTGTCCAATTTCCTGGCCCCTGCTAGGAAAGCCAGGGGGTGGCTATCAGCTGGATAGAGCAGTCACAATGAGGGTGGGTGAGAAAAACTTAGGACTTTGCAGGTTTTCTGTGGGAAGTCTCCAGCAGTTTCCTCTCCTCTGCTTTTGCCATACCAATAAATTCATCTACCCCACCGCACCCTTAAATGGTATCTTGAGTGAATTCAAATTTCAGGACCTATTAAGAGAAGTGGGGAAGGGCTCAGAGCAGTGGCATTATTGACTCTTTTACTGGGCACTTAGGGGCCAGATACTCCTTGTTGCATTCATTATGTTCAGTCTCACAAGGCCACAGGAGGAGTGGTATACTATCATTTACCCCATTTTACTAGTGAGAAGCTGAAGCTCAGGAAGGTGCTTCCTTTAGACACAGCTAGGAAGTGCTCTAAGTGGGATTCAAATTCAACCTCACTGATTCTAAAACCTGTGTTCTTTCCATTTTTCTGGGGTACCGTGAGAGGCGCAAACTGAAATAGGAACAACAAAAATAAACTACCATTATTGAGTTCTCACTTGCACCAGACACTGTTCAAGGCCTTATAAAACTGTTCTGGCATCTGTGGTACAGGAATTATGGTGGGAATCAGAGACTGCCTTAGCCTTTCTCAAACAGTATTACTGTTCCTTGCCTGCTGTACTCCACCCATCTGCTATGAGTTGGTGGGGCAGGGGCCTTATTTGCTTTATCCTAGAGGTAGTTTGAGGACTAATGAAAGATTGATTGTCCACATCTGATCCGTTAAACCTGACCGTTGGCTTCTGAATGATGCTACTGTCCCCTAAGAGGACTTTCTCGGGCTTCATTCAATAAACATTTGTGAAATGAATGAATTAGCACCTTGTGTAGAGTGGGCTGCTGTCCTGCAGAAATGTGAACAGCCCAGGGGCAATCAAGGCCCCTCCACCCCCAAACTAGGAAGCTAAGTCAGGCATTTCTCCCCCTCAAGCAAGGGGACTAGGGAGAACTGTGCCCCTGTGGGTTTGTGTATTTTTCCTATCCACATATATATGCTGCTACCTTGTTTTTATAAAATTTCAAAGATAGAGTGGATAAAGAAAATTGACTTGGAAAAATAAACAGAATTGACATAGTGTGAGTGAAGTTGTGAACAAAAGGAATTTTAATATTTTTGTGAGAAAGGGTGGGGGGTGTGGGTCAAATGATGCTATTTGCTTTAGGGCTTCCCAAAATTCTTCATAGAAAGTACAATAGTACAGAAGACCAACAGGTACTTCTGGGGGCTGGGATATAATATATAATTCAGATTAACCCCAGCAAGCTTGAAAATTGCTTTAAGTATTCATGTGGTTTTTTTTTTTTTCATTTTATTTCAAATGTTGAATTTGGTTTAAAAACATATAAAAGTTTTTTTCCCCAAAATATTTACCCCCAAAATGGTGTCTTGGGCTATTTTTATATTTTTAGGGACTGGGAGTATCCAGATGGAGCAGGGCAAAGATTATGGGCTGGGACTTACAGTATTGTTTGCATTTTCCCTTTAGGTAACTCACACTAATAACACCTCCCACCCTCTTGTAAAGATAACCCCTTTTCCTGTTTTCTTTTTTTTTTTTAAGAATGAATATGTTTCAAAATAAGAAAAAAAATCTTTACAATTTGTTTTTTACCCCAACTCCAGCTTTGTTGAGCTATGATTCACATATAACATGTAAGTTTAAAGTATATAGTGATTTGACATATATAAATATTTATATTATATATTTGTATATGTATCCACATGATACTTAACACATCTGTGACCTCACATAAACACCGTGGTTTTATTTTATTTTTTTATATAGTGAGAACATTTGAGATTTATTTTCTAGGAACTCCCAAGCATATAACACTATCTTGTTAACCATAGGCACTTTGCTATATATTAGATTCTCAGAGGTTACTCATCTAATAATTGGAAGTCTGTACCTCTTGACCAACATCTTCCCCATTTATTTCCTTCTTCCAACTCCTGGAAACCAAGATTCTACTCTCTGCTTCTATGAACTCAGCTTTTTTAGATTCCTCATTATTGTTCTTACTACCAAAATTATACATATTGATTGCAGAAAAAAGTAAAACAGACATTAGCATTAATAATAATAATAAAATAAATACATCTTTAGTCAGAAATAACTAATGATTATCTCAGTATATAGATTTTTCTCTTTATATGGGTACTTTAAAAGAAAACAAATTTATACACAGCTTACTTTTGATTATTGTTAGTGCTTAAAGCCATCACAGATTGTTTTTAAAAGAAGATCGAAAATAAGTTATAAGTTATTAAAAACATCATGCTCGTTAATCCTATTTGTGCACCCCAAAGGTTGCCCTATAATTCTTGTGTCATATAGTTTCAAGCAGAGAAAAGTCCCTGCCTTGGGCCACTACTGAATTTGTAGAGTCTGCATGTGCTACTTAACACCCACTTAAGTTGAAATACCTCAAATGAAATATCTCAAATGCACAAAAAAGATAACTTGTCAGAAAATTCTAAAACTCAGTTGCACAAGGTGGAGAAAAGAGACTTAGATAAATGAGGCCTTTGCTCTAGCATTTTATTTACTGTGTGCCTTAGGAAAACAGGTAGTTTCTGTGGCTCTCTTTTCCCTACCATTAAATTGGGAGTAATAACACTTACTTTACTTTCTCCCAATAGAGTCAATCTGAGGACCCTCAGGTGTTATAACTTGTTGCCTCAGTTGCATGCAGTGTGTGTATGTGTGTTTAAACACAGAAAGATCAAAAATATTCTTTGTTAAATAGTAGACTCTAACTCCTGGGTTCCATGCTGTGGGACTTTAATTCTAATGCGCTATTGGATCCCTGCTGGATGTTTCCTTCAACAATATAGAATTCCTTAAAGGCTAACTTTTCATTAATCCGTATCACAATCTTGAACTGAAAAAAAGACAAAAAAATAGCCACTTCACAGAATAAAAGCAGGCTTGCTCTGCCAGGAAGCTTTTCCTTAGCACCAGGCCTCCTGGAGCTCCTAAGGACTGTCTCCCATTGCCATAAGCAAGGCTTACAAGGAGGAAGCTTTGGGAGCAATTGAAAGGCGGTCTACCCAGGAGGCATGGCTCCGTACCAGCAACCACTGTCCCCAGGCTTGCTTCCAGTAGAACCAGGCTCCCAGCCGCTCTGGGAAAGAGAGGCCCTGCTTAGGGAGGCTGGTGGCTTGGCTTCTACTCCTGCCCCAAAGACAAGCTGTGCAGTCTAGATTTAGTCATAACCTCTCCCTGAACTCTTGGTTTCTTTATCTATACAGTAAGGGAGCTGAACCAGTCCTAGTTATAAAAGTCTGTGATTCTAAGTTATTTCCCATTTATATCAGCTTAAGTAAGAAGTGTAGTAATTATCCCATCTGATGAGTCAGGTGTCAAAATATGTTCCCATTTTAGTGGCTTCAAGTTTCAGTGCTCCTGATGAATGTCTGAGGCTCTTCTAGCTGACTTAGAAGGACACATGCAGGACACATGAGACCTTGGTCACCCAGAGGGCTTCTACCCCTGAGAAGAGAAGACTTTTCCTACCCCTGAGAAGAGAAGACTTTTCCTACCCCTGAGAAGAGAAGACTTTTCCTTCCCTTCCCTTCTTTCTCCTTCCTTACCTCATCTTTCTCTGTTGGCTCTTGAGCTTTTGCTTTCATTTATTGGTCACTATTCATCTGGAATCTCCTCTTATTGTTGGGAGGGAGAACATGGTAGCTTTGGGGAAGGTGAGTTGATAGAAGTACAGAGAAAGTTACTTGTAGCAATAAATCTTTCCCAAAAACCTGGGACAAGTCTGTTTCCATAGAGATAGTAATGATGGCCTTGATGTAAATCTTTAAAAAACCATGTTCTCTCAGTGTGCATGTCTGAGGAGGTAGCATAAAGATACTGCTACTGCAGTTAAGAAGTGGTACTACTTAGATGAGAATAACTGAAATGAAACTAGAAAACTGACACATCCTCTTTTCTTCAGAAGACTCCATGTGTGTTTTATTTTGGGGTTA